GTGCACAGGCAGTTAATTGTTTTCATCTGGTGGCCTGTTAGGCAAAGTCCAAATCCAGACTTTACACAATTCATTTTGTCTCGCTGATGGATCTCTCCTGTTTTTATCTGGAGTAGACACTAAAAACAAAAGAAATCACAGCCTCCAAATGAAAAACTGTGATCAGAGCACAGAATCTTGCTGCCTTTGGCTTTGGTCTGTCTTTTTTTAGGAACTCATTTTCATCTCAAATAGGTTTGCTGAGATTTACTTGGGCTCTGGGTACAGAGTTTCCCACATTTTTAAACTTTTGTTGTGTCAATACCAGTAAGTACTTAAAAAAGAAAATTCTACCCAACGTCAGAGTCAGCTGTACCAAAACCTCATTTTCTTTCTGGTTTTATTTTAACAGCAGCTTACCAAGAACAACTGGGAGAACTCTGCCTTGGGAAGAATGAAACTGCACTACCCCTGAACTAACCTAACACCTATCAACCTCAGCACCTCCTGCAACCAGACCGTGACATGAAGCTTAAATGAGGATTCTTTGGGATGAGAAGAAATCATAAAAGTTAATGTATTTTGCCAGGTTAGATTTGAATATTTGCAGGTAGCTTGCAATACTTACTTGTTCAATAGCAAAAAGAAAGCAGTGGCTTTTGTAAACACTTCCCATCAAAATTTAAAAAGTTAAACCAGAAGAATTATCCAATATTGCAGTTACTAATTTTAACATAGAAGTTATTATGACTTCCCTGATCTCCCTCTCTCCCGTATTCTCCCAGAAACCCTCATAAAACCAACGCTTGCCAGCAGAAATGTTCAGCAGAAGGGATGTGGTTAGCCATACATGAAGTGTCAGGTCTTCCATTTTGTTGGAATTTGGGATCACTGCATTAGGTCACACTAAATACATCAAATCTTTGCTCTGAGCTCAGACTGCTCAGGTCCCTGCACTGAAGAAGTCAGTGGTCTTTGTTAGCTCATGGCACATAGACGACCCAGAGAACCAAAAATTAATCTTAATCAGTCTTTCGCAAAAATTCTTATTTACCGAATTTGACTCAGTTAACACTTACCTTTATAAACAAACCAGAACCCAGAGATTTAATAAGACCTTGAAATCAGCATTGGACCACTGGAAGCGCAACAAAGTAACAACGATAGTAAATTCCAGTATTAATTTATACATACTTTAATTGCTATTTTAATGATACAATAAATCTACTGAAGCTTTTAAAGATTTGTTTTTATTATGGTTTTATATATTTATATAAAACCACCAAAGCACTTTAAAGAATCATGCTTTCTTGTGTAATACATAAAACTAGTTTCATACTGTGCTTCTGAAAGTCTATTGTGCAGTTTTTCAAGTTATTTTACAGATGGCACATTAAAAAAACAAACCCCAACAACGGAAGCATGAATTTCTAGTGACTGCAACGCAACACGGCATCCAAACCAAGATGTCTCATTACAGCTAAGTTAAAGTGTGAGTGCATTATGTAATAAACAATAGCAGTTTGGTCATTTTAATTCTGTTTACAACGAAACTAACGCTTGTGCTTCACGACCTAAAATCCCATGATATAAACGTTAAGTTCGGTGCTGTAAAAATCCCGACAAATAGTGTCCGAAAAGAAAAACGTATCTGAAACAGGAGACCAAGTTTAAATCTACTCACTTTCCTCGAGAATTGCTAGATTGAAGAGCAATATGACATACAAGAGACAATAAGGCACAATGGGTGGTACAAACAAATGAGTACAGTTGTCCGTGAAACTTGTTCTCTTCCACAAATACTAAAATATGTACCGCTCAAGATAAATTTTCTCTTAAAAATGAAATACATCATCTTGTTATGAAAGTCCTATACAAAAATTTAAAATTTACACCATCTGAGCTGCCAAAAAAATAAAAAAGTGTATCAATTTTCCACAAAACTATATTTCTCACCAGCACATCCAGCCACTGGGGAAAAAGATACCCCAGCACTCTGGAAAAGAAAAACATTATCTCCCCTGTGTTTAAGACAAAAATATCGTATTCTGCATACAGTAGTGTATTACAATTAAAAAAGCGTAGCACTGTTAAAATTACAATATTGATTTGGAAATTATTGGTTCACTGCCTGGATGAAATAAGGCACTTTCTTCCAGTGGGCAGCACTTTTCACATATATGGAGACGATGAATCAGGTTCTGGTTAAAAACAAAAAAGGGGCTCAGTGAGGTCCCAGAAGACGACAGGAACATTTCAACAGCAGGGGAAGACACAGGAGGTAAAACCTGGAGATGAAACTCTACACAGAAGTGGTCACTCTGTCAATGGCATTATTGACCTCGTTTTTGTTTGAATCCAGTCCTTTAGCAGCATTCATATCATTCCGTAAATTCTCCACTGTCTTTTTCATGTTCTTTAATTCTCCAGGGTGTGGAGTGGCTCGCCTTAGAAGTGTTCTCTAAAAATAAACAGCGCAATAAGTGGTTTTGCCTTCATCCCTTTGAAAAGCAACATACACTTTCAAGGCCTTAGCATTCACATACCAAATATTAGGTATCGATTTTTCTTTTTTCCCTTTTTTTTCCCCCTTGTCAAACTGTGATGCTCTGTGTTGACTGTTATTTTCATAGCTGCTTGTTTATGGAGACAGTGAAAGAGGTTTTAAGAACTGCAGAGGCGCAAATTTTCTCTCTTTTGACCTACTAATCTGAAAGCCACTCAAGTGAAGTACAATCACAAGTTATGAAGTGAAGATTCTTTCATAAATGTAGTTGGGATTTTTTTTCCCCCCAAAGAAAACATCCAAGTGATTTAAGATCACATTTCAAACAAAAAAACCATTCAGCTGGTTTTGAAAGAATGCCACAAGATCTCTTTAGAGTGTCAAATACATGTTTGTGTGGAGCTCTACATGCCTTCCAGCTCCTCCACACAGTTTGGTTCTCTTTGTTGATCGAGAGCAAATACCGTGAAATGAAGAAGAGGGAGCATTTCTCTCCCATCTGAGAGACAAGAACGTCTAACATCATTGCTGAAACCTTTACAAGGAGAACTGAATTTACAAGCCTCCCAGTTAGCATCCAGAGTAGAGACCAACAGAACACCAAGAATAATTGCAAGTATTTATCAGTATAATACATATATACATGCAATTACTTTTCCGTGGTATATATGTAAACTGTGCACATACAGTGGGACTGTTAAACGGGTGCATTGGTCAAGACTGCTATGGAAATCTGCCCTTCCTCCTCCCCGCTACCATCACAAACTACTTCCCCTAAAAAGTCTACTACTCCTTGCCTCAAGTCAGGCTGTAATACCACGACTGAAAGCAATTATCATTAACACCTGAGCCCCCGTTATTGTACGGACATTCTCACATTGGCACAGTCGTTAAGAAGCATCATTCTGAGCTCCCTCATCAGTCAATGAGCCACACTTGTTATTTAGTTTCTGCTGCTTTGGATTAAGCAACCATCTGATTGAAAACTTAAATGTTCATTTCCCTACTAACTAAGAATTTTTATAGTAATTTTTTAAAGACCATGTTTCTAGTGTGCTACAATCCAGACAGTGCCCTGAAGTATCTCAAACTGAGCTCTAATAAGAACCACCAGCAAGTTTTTAGAGCATCAGAGAAGCATGCTGAAAAATCCCCCTTAATCTTTACAAAGAATTTTAATTGTTAATGAAAGTTAGTAAAGCTAAAGATCACATTGCATTTTGATCTTCAGGACATGCAGAGCACAACTTAATGGAGAGGTCTTATAAGTACAGTGACAG